CACACGTAGTGTTTCTTGCATATTTTGTTTCCTTAAGCTTGTGATGCATTTACTGCAGATTTTGCGTAGTTTGGGTGATACCCACATAAAAAGTCAAACAAAATGAGGATCCTGAGGCTGTAGCATATCAAAACCAATTTGTTTCAGGTTGACAGATAACATGTCGAAAAATATAACATAAAAACAGCTGCATTTGTATAATTTCCTAGGTGAGGCTGAATTCTTTTTGACCGCCCTTTGTATGCATGTGTTGAACTTCATCTCCTTGCAGTTACAACCAGTGGACACAAAGAGACTGGAATGGTACAGACTATATGACCCCTCAGCATTTGAAGGGATCTTGGCACTGACCGATATTCTGAGTGTACGACACAAAACAGAAAAAGTATTCAATAAAGACATAACTGTCGAGCTACCAATTGCTGATTTGTCAGAAGAGGAAAATTATTTGATACCCATCAGTATTCAAAAGGACAATTATGTCGTCGGACATATTGAAGGGAGTTCATTGAAAGACGTTGCTACAATGACTCACACCATGACCAATGATTCAAGGTGACTTATAGAATCATGTAACACGTAAATATATTGACAAAAACTTTCCACATCAATAAGAAATCTTTGCCTAAAGCTCCATCGAGTATACAATTTGGGCGACACAGTGAACATGTGTATATAAGAATCTCCCAAATAGTTATGATACCAGGTGCTCGCGAAATGATGTTGTGTATGTGTCCTATATTTCATTCCATACCTTGAGTACAAAACTATGATGGATATTTAACAGTAAAATATAATTTTCAAAAGTTATTCTGACGCTTTACTAATCACATAGAATAGGAGAAATATTTTGATTGCATTATATCACTTTATTTTCTCTAACTTGTTGCACGAACCCGTGAAGATTCATGATAGAATCGGTCTAAGAGGCGACTAAAGGGATCGGGTGGTCAGACTCCCTGACTTGATACATGTCATCGTATCCCAATTGCTTAGATCAATGATTATAATATCAATCACTGGATAGTTTGGTCCAGTCTCGATTATTCATAGACCGCCGTCATGGCATGATGTTGAAAAGTGTTGAGTGCAGCATTAAACAACAAGAGAACCAACCAAACAAAGCCAAGAAAAAATTGTTGCACCTTTCCAGGACTTGATATTATGTTTCAGATGGCTGATCGGTCGTGCTAAAAAAGGTGTGTCTTCAAAACCCATGGAAAGGGGAGCTCCCTTCCTGGTTGGAAAGATCGACATATGCACAATGTTGATGTTCGTATCAAAAGACAACAGAGATAGGTGGCTAACTGTTGAGGTCGTAGGATCCGAATCTGCAGATCGGGTAATGAAATCAAGGCAACAAAGGAACTACTTTGATATTTTTGGAAGCAGATCGGGGTCTTTTTGGATAAATCAAAGCAATAGGATACGAGTACATCTGGCAGGAAATATGAGGAGTGCAGAACAGGTAAAGAAGACTAAGTACTCGTTTCAGTACATTCGCCAGTCGAGGAACAACTTCATTCAGTTCAAGACTAAGAAGGTAGTTAGTGGATCTGCCTACAGCGTTGTCCAGGTTTCAATTTCTGGAAAACAGGTTCACGAAGTCCACTTCAACTATCCTGATGCAGGATTTAACTTAAAGGACATAAAAAGTCTACGCACGTATAGACCTGCAACAAGAGAAGAAAACCAATGCTACCCTACCCCTGTTGCTCATGAACCACCTTCCGAGGTAGTATCGCCATCCTGTGTGGCAAGCGATACTGGTTATAACACTGAAGAATCTGTGAGAGAGGAAAACACACGCAGTGTAGCAACACCGCCAATGAGGAGTGAGTCATTGACAGTGTCAGCTTCAAGTGATGAAAGTGGAATGGGTAGCGGCACATCTGAGGTATCTGAGGGATCTGAGGGATCATCTAGTTCCTCCAGATCAAGACTTTCAAGAAGTGTGTCCATGCCTGCTTCGGCGTCTCACAATCGTCCCACCAGCAGCAACTTTCTGGGAAGCACGTGGCCAGGAGGGGCAGTTACATGTCCATCTCCATCTCCTTCAGGTAATACTCCTTCTCTGAAGCAGCACCCTGCCTGTCTTTTAGGTCAACGAATGCGTCTTTCTTAAATCTACCATATTCAATTTCACATACTTTAAAAGGAACTTGTCATATGCCTGTTACAGCGGTATCACGTCCAAATTGTGTACAGACGAATACTTGCAAAGGGTTCAGGGATTTATTGTCTGGGATGATGTGAGGATCAATTACCGTGGATATGGTGATAAAACCTTGAAACAAAACATAAACATATCTCAAATTACTGGTATACAGCAACAAGTATATAGTAAACATATAATTACGTTAAACATTTTCTGTACACCTCAAGGGTTACTCAGTCTAAGTATATTTATAAGCTAATATTACAAATTACAGTCATACAGAACATAACCTATACAATTCCTTGACACATAAATACTAACCTCTTCTCAGGGACGCAGGTATTCCACAGTGAAAGCCACCAGTGGCAAATGAGTGCATCTAAGACCTAATCATAAAATAAAACAATTAAATACAATATATATTAAACACACACATACACGTAGGTGTACACATACACTCTTTCTCATGCTATCCATAATATGTACCTAATATATATGCACTATATTCTACTTTAACTAAATGCGTAATAATCATAATACATAACAGTGTGTCATAACATTAAGTATATAAAATAATTACATCATATCATCATGTAGATGATATCACTATATATATACATTCAGTACATTACATAACATGAACGTCTTACAAATTATAGTCTGGATCGCGCAATTTGTCACGTATTTGACTTGTGGAAGACTTATGCATCCATTGCTGATACAAAGTGCTTTCTATTGATGATACAAAGTGCTTTCTATTGATGATACAAAGTGCTTTCTATTGCTGATACAAAGTGCTTTCTATTGCTGATACAAAGTGCTTTCTATTGATGATACAAAGTGCTTTCTATTGCTGATACAAAGTGCTTTCTATTGCTGATACAAAGTGCTTTCTATTGCTGATACAAAGTGCTTTCTATTGCTGATACAAAGTGCTTTCTATTGCTGATACAAAGTGCTTTCTATTGATGATACAAAGTGCTTTCTATTGATGATACAAAGTGCTTTCTGTGATGATACAAAGTGCTTTCTATACAAAGTGCTTTCTATTGCTGATGCACAAAGTGCTATTGCTGATACAAAGTATTGATGATACAAAGGGCTGCTCTATTTCTGATACAAAAGTGCTTTCTATTGATACAAAGTGCTTTCTATTGCTGATACAAAGTGCTTTCTATTGCTGATACAAAGTGCTTTCTATTGCGAGAGTTAGCTTGACGTGTTTCTTCTTCTGTTGAGATGGTACCAGAACATGAGTACAACGATGGACACTGTTCTTCTTATCAAAAACTGGAGCGTGCCTTCGACAATGTTGGTCGTTCAGACCTATCTAAAAAAACCACTACTTGCAAAGCTATATACTAGGAGGAAGGGCAGAATTGGACTTACAAACAAAGACTTTGCATGATACCACAAACCTTCCTACATGACATTACTGTGTTACACAATATATAATTTGCCCTCATTTCTCTCGAGTAGGGAAAGGGGTTGAGTGTGTGTGTGTGTGTGTGTGTGTGTGGGGAGGAGGGAGGGGAGTGGAGTTGAATGTGTATGGTTTTACGCCAGTAGCTTTACCCAATACGTCTGTAAAGTGGGCTACACCTAAAATGCTGAAATGGGCTTCACACATTGTACGTATGTGGGGAATCAAACTTGGGTCTTCAGCGTGACGAACGGACGCATTAATCATCGGGCTCTACCGCCTTTTTGTGAGATGAGTATCCTATGGATTCACTCAGTCACTCGTCACGCCGAAGACTCAGGTTAGAATCTCCACATGCGCAAACTGTTAGAATACCAGAGAGAGAGACGAGAAAGAGAGCACGTACCATATTTCATCAAGTTCATCTCCTATTATCATTAGTTGAGCGGCCCTATACATTGTAAAAAGTGCGCTAATTAACCGAGCTGGTTTACTTGAAACAGCTATTTCCTTTCCTGTCTGCCCATGGGTAATTAAGTCATTGTATCAGTCTTGGTATGGTAACCCGTGAAGATCCGGGTTAGAATTAATCTTCAGTCACCCATGCTTGTCCTAAAAGGCGACAAACGGAAGTAGGCGGTCAGACTCGCTGAATTGGTTTACACATGTCATCGTATCCCAATTGCTTGGATCAATGCTTATGCTGTTGATCACTGGCTTGTCTGGTCCAGACTCGATTGTTTACAGACCGGAATATTCATTGCTGGAATATTGCCGAGTGCGGCATAAAAGTACACTCACACACATGGTATTGGTATCATTTAATTTTATCTTCGGTTTAAATGGCTGAATGATTGTAAAGGAATTATTATATATCTGTGTACAATGATATATAGCCATGTGATACTACACATCCCTTACACCACCATCCTCCACATGTCCCCTCCCGACATCTGTCCACCTTTACCCACAGGTATCTGGTGCAACTCCTGACTCTTCTGCTTTCTAGCGATACAGTCTTGGCCTTGTTACTCAGTATCAAGAGGATATTCAGAATGAACCATGGGGAGATTATTCCCGATTGTTCATTATGCATTCTTCATGGTATCAATAGTCTCACTCAGTCATTGACGTATGACGTTCTTTCCAGCGTTCTGCTATACTTCCCGTGTGTCACGTGACGGCATTCCACGGTGACCACGCCTCTGTGGTATTCGTGTTAAAGGTCTGTACAGTTTCTGTGAGCATATGCTGATTTAGGTGTAACTGTATAATAATTTAATGCGTTTTAAAGTTTATCTAAAACTGTCAGTTTTTGTCCATGTGTTTTCCCAGTAGATCGTTAGTTGTTCAGTTATAACGAAGTGCCTAATTTCAAAAAACATGTTGGAAGATTTGTCACAAAGAATGAAAGATTGTCTATAGAGTCAATACTGCATCACATGTTTCAGGCTTTGCATCTGGTGGCTTGTCTGCTGGCAATACTGCATCACATGTTTCAGGCTTTGCATCTGGTGGCTTGTCTGCTGGCAATACTGCATCACATGTTTCAGGCTTTGCATCTGGTGGCTTGTCTGGTGGCAATACTGCATCACATGTTTCAGGCTTTGCATCTGGTGGCTTGTCTGGTGGCAATACTGCATCACATGTTTCAGGCTTTGCATCTGGTGGCTTGTGTGGTGGCAATACTGCATCACATGTTTCAGGCTTTGCATCTGGTGGCTTGTCTGCTGGCAATACTGCATCACATGTTTCAGGCTTTGCATCTGGTGGCTTGTCTGCTGGCAATACTGCATCACATGTTTCAGGCTTTGCATCTGGTGGCTTGTCTGCTCGCAATACTGCATCACATGTTTCAGGCTTTGCATCTGGTGGCTTGTGTGCTCGCAATACTGCATCACATGTTTCAGGCTTTGCATCTGGTGGCTTATCTAGTGGCAATACTGCATCATACGATTCAGGCTTTGAATTTGGCCTTTGTTAGACCTTGAGGACGTTTCCACATTTGGCAAATCAGTGACCAACATGATTTTCTGTTTATTTCCCTGGACTTCTGCCATGTGTTCCAGTGGTCTTAGGTGAACAGTTAACTCGTTTGTTACACGTACCAACGGTAGGTTTGAACACGTTCATCCTTTACGATCACCGTGTATGACCACTTGTTGATACTGATTCATAAACGCCCGCTTATCAGAGTCAGGGAGCGGTGGGGCAGCCAAGTGGTTAAGCGTTTGCTCGTCACGCCGAAGGTCCGAGCTCGATTCCCTACATGGATACAATGTGTGAACCCCGTTTCTGGTGTCCCTCGCCATGATATTGCTGGAATATTGCTAAAAGCGGCGTAAAACTAAGCTCACTCACTCACTCAATATCAAGAAACGCGATAGGCCTAACGATCAGTTAAATGTCTGCACCATCGTTCAGGAAACCTACGTCTGCCTGCTGATGAGAATTTGCACGAATTTCCTCACTTTTGCACATGTGCAAAATCATTACCAATTGATGACAACGAATAGCAGTTTAAGACTTTGCAAGTGTTATGAACACGGACAATTCTCGTAACTACAAAATTGTTTTTGCTTAACGTGTTTAGTCACTACTAGGCATTGAGTTGGTACACCATAAAGCTCAAAAGAGACAGGCGAGAAAGCCGTGACACAATGTAAACAAATCTCCATTTCGGTTACGGTCAACCGAAATAGCAAAACTTGTAACATGAAAGAACAATGTGGTGGATATTGTCCCCTTCGCTCTTAGATATTCTTCAATTTGTCACACATTTTAGGATGTTTTAAGTTTCATAAGCACAATCTGAAGGCCTACAGTATCTTGTTAACAGAGCAAAATATTCGAGGAGTAATATTTTTTATTCAAACGGAAATATTGTCAGTGTCAGCAGTTGCCTATCATGCAATATCCAAGTATCAAAATTAATTCATATGAGTGCCTATAAAACCATGCTTTAAATATTTCAGCTTTTTTATAAAGAGTTGCATGGGACTTTGGATTGAATTACCTTCCTCCATGTTGATCGAATACGAAAACTATGAGGAGAAAATAGTGATCGACTTTCTGGAGTATTGGACGAGTGAAATAAAGTGTATATCTTAATTATGAGAACATTATTTGAAGTTTTGTTACCACATAAATTATTCACATATATTTGTACATTTTAGGAGTAATATTACAACAGTAATTTTGATTAATTCACTGGAAATGATAGCAAGGTATGTTTTAAGAATCTTACTTTTTAGTAAACGTGAAAGGGTAATAAAATTAATAATAATCTAATCTAATAATAAATAATTATTTAATTGATTGACATATCAGATTCTTATGATTTTAAAGGCAGAACTAGGCAAACAAACACTATACATATCATGGCAGGACAATCACTTGGTATTAACTTAGTTAATTCTTGGCTCCTGCTTTTAGATGTTTTTTTAAATACTACATTTACTAATAAGATCATTCTGAAAGTGATTGCTAGTATCATAACTCATTAAAGTTATTTCAACATCCAGAGAATTTGAAAAAGCAAAGGCTACGTTTTGGTCAAACCCTGGTCAGGCATTATCCAGTCCTGCAGGGCATAGATTTTCGAAGCTCTCTTAGCGCTAAGATAGTCGGAAGTGCCATGCATTAACATTAACTTACGACTATCTTAGCGCTAAGAGAGTTTCGAAAATCTAGGCCCTGGAACAGAATAACTTACAAAAATCTCAGTTGACTTTTCATGAATAAATATTGAAACATATATTTAACCCATATTTGATGTAATTCTTCTGATAAATCATCAGTTTTTTAGGAGGTTATCAATATTTGAAGACTGAGCCAAAGCTAGTGTTTATTAAGATGATGGATTTTGACAAATTGTTCAAGGCTTGTTGATGGTTATTTGGAAAATGAGCTTCATATTAAATTGCACACTGGTTTGTAGGAGGTGAATGCTTCAGGACATTTTCATGTCTGTTTTCCTAAACCTTTGTTATGACTTTTAACAAATTTTGAATCAACTTTACTATAATTTTTATGACACCAGTAAGTATATCAGAATAGGAAATAGATCAAAATCAGTGTTATGTCCTCTAGGGATATGGTCTCAGATCTAATAAAACAAAGATTATCATTGTTTAATTAAGAAGCAATAATATCAATATGTAATTGTATTGACAAAAAGCTTTGGACATAGGATATATTCTTTGCACCTTATTTACACTAGTAGTTAGCAGTTAAACGTCTCTGATGAAAAAACAATAGATCTACATTTGTATTTTGTGTAACATTCTATTTTAATGCTAGTCAATTGTTCGGATAACTGTGGATCCTCTGTTCCAAGATTTTGCATCACATGTTTCCTATTTCTGGAAGATGGCTCAGCTAGTGTACAGGTGCAGACTGTATCTTGGATCTTTTTTGTGTTCTGGTACTGTGACATACCTGTACATAAACGCTGGCAGTTCATGAAGTCCAGTAGATCTATTGTGGAAGTTTGTATGTAAATTAGGATTCAACAACAAAGTACATATAGAAAAGTGAAATGGAAATGATTGAAAAAATGATTTCCTTATATTCAGTGTCAGTTTATCATTGTGTACAGATTTTGAAGAGATAAACTTTACTGAGAATTGCTGCAGATCAGCTGTTGAATATTTGCTTCTGGGTATGTCCAGATCTAGATACATCCATGGAAACATACTGTTTACAAGCCCAATTACTTTTCCAGATTTCCAAATGTGATTGATTTGTTTACATAAATTATATACAGACAAATAAAGTGCATGAAGTAGTACAAGGGATATATTTTCTGCTCTTTATTTACCATTCTCTTAATTCATTAAAAGATAGAAACACATGTTTTCAGATTATTGAACTAAATTTGAACAACGCCAACGGATTATAATCTATTTATAGATACCAAAACGATCTGCAACATGAACATGTGGTTGTGTTCACGAGTTTTATAAAATTATAAACTCAAACAACAAAATTTCAGTTACCCTTCCCCTGCTAATATCTGTGACGGAGGTGAATTGCCAGATAGATTAATTGATTCGAAAGAAATTACGCTTCCTACAGTCTCAGCAGCTAGTCGAGACGATTTTTCATCGGGCATGTAACTCATTTTCACTCGCCAGTTGCAATCTGCCAGCTAATACATAATAAAAATCACATACGTATAACTTGCCTCTTTAAATAACATTCCCAAACGACGGATACCATAGTATCACAAGCAGAATTCATCAACAACGTTCGCAATCACGTAACGTTTCACCGGCGGTGACGCCATTGTGATTTGTCAGTGGTTGTCCCCCCTAACGTCAAAAACGAAGTGGGCGGGGCTTATCGGCCGGGACTGGATCGGTCTATTATCAGAGTCGGAGGAAGACGCCTCATGGATGTGGTTTGGTCGCCTCACTTTCACCATGTTGTTTATTATATTAGATGTATGTATCATTATAATCTACGTTTTGAAGATCTTAAGAACACATATAAAGTGGAAGAATTACCGACTATCAAACCGGTATTCATATTTGCAAATTTGTATTCATATTACAACACGATTATTAAATATATTCCACTATCACTTTTATATTCACTCAGATGAAAATGGATCAGGATCTGTTTCGTGACAACGTAGTATCAAATGGAGTACATACATACATGTATATATGCAGTATTAGAGTACAGTGAACTGCGTTTATAACAAACACGCTTACATCGAACTGGCGGATAAAACAAAGTGTCTTTCTTATCCCGGACTGATGATGAATATTTTCGCCAACAAACTTTAATTTCAAACTATACTATGTCATAACAAATTTAAATTAGTTGTAGCAATTGTAGTTGACTGCACTGAAAAATATTTCATCATACATTCAAAGGAAAATGTTCATTTTTTCTATAGAAAATGTACCAAGTTGTGTTTTTTAAAACTATATCGTTTTTTCTGTAGATATTTATTTTATTTTTAGAATAATCTGCACGAAGAGAGAATTACTTATGATTAACTTAGTAAATAAGATATTTCTACATTCAGCCAAAGGGGAGCATGTATCACATTGTTTATATGACCGTGAACACCTCAAGTATTTTGGTCACAGGTTGGAACAGCTAGTAATGCCATAATCTAAATATTGACTTTGAATTCACAAAATATTCAGTCCAATATGGATTTTGAATGTGCAGCAACGCAGTTGACCATACTCTGCTCTCCGCATAATGATTTGTTTATTTATCAACTTGAAGCATAACACAACAGAAATCTGTCCTTATAACGTTTTCATTCAAATATTGAGTAAGTGAGTGAGTGAGTATTGTTCTACGTCGCTTTTAGCAATATTCCAGAAATATCACGGCGGTGGACACCAGAAATCGGCTTCACACATTGTACTCATATGGGAAATCGAACCCGGGCCTCTGGCGTGAGGGGGGGTGGGGTAGCCTAGTGGTTAAAGCGTTCGCTCGTCACTCCGAAGACCCGCGTTCGATTCCCCACATGGGCACAATGTGTGAAGCCCATTTCTGGTGTCCCCCGCTGTGATATTGCTGGAATATTGTTAAAAGCGGCGTAAAACCATATTCACTAACTCCCTCCTCCGGCGTGACGAGCGAACGTTTTAATGGCTAGGCTACGCCACGGCCCCCAAATAGTGAGTGAATTGTCAAACTGAAACATACATCATCACATCACATGACATCACAAAATATGTAAGCAACTGGCTACTTTCCTCTGTCCTAAATCATGCTCATATGTTATTAAACATTGACACAATTTGTAAGTCCAGCAAATTAAATCCTCAGATTAAAGTGTTGTCAATAATCCGTCCATTTAGTTTGATAATGTGATCGGTCTTGGTGGTAAATGTATCCAAAATATTTTGAAATGGAGTACGGTTTATTTAAATATAAACAAAAACCTTTCCAGATTTGTCATAACCTTCATCTCCTATTATCATTAGTTGAGCGGCCCTTTTCATTGTAATAAGTGCGCTTATTGACCGAGCAGGTTTACTTGAAACTGCTGTTTCCTTTCCTGCCTGCCCATGGGTAATTTAGTCATTGTATCAGTCTTGGTATGGTAACCCGTGAAGATCCGGGTTAGAATTTTGATCTTCAGTAACCCATGCTTG